ACAGATGTTCCATGCATAGTTGGTTCCTGTATCCAGAGGGTAGGCCCACTGCTTGTCCGGGATGACCCTGCACTCCCTCCAAAGGAACAGGTGCATAGCTTGGGAACACTCTTGGATATGTATTATTCATGAGGGGCCCAAGTAACTGGTGGGTTGCAGTGCCTTTTTCCAGCTTCAATTGATATGGCATCTATGAATGTATGTGGACTAACATGTTTTCCATAGCAATTCCCAGGGAAAATCCCAAGATCTCAACAGGTGATTTCCTGATTCATTAAATCTTAAAAGCACCAATTTTAGTGCTCATCCAGCCCACAGTAGAATTTCAGTTGCCATGAACAAAACAAGTAGCAAAGGCACTAAAGGATATTACAAATCTGTCCCCCACCATTTACAGACGGAGGGGCTGGGGACCAAGGACAGCCATCTGTTGTGATCTCTGATTCTTTGCACTATTGTCCCTGAAGCTCAGGATTATCTGGCTATGTGTGCAGAGTTAGGGCAGCATCACTTAGAATCTAGGGGCTGAATTATTACTAAAAAAAAAATCACTTTAATACAGACCTGGAGAGTTTACTAACTTCTTTATTGAGAAATACACATAATTTTACATGGTTTGCTGATATTACCCTCAAACTCAGGCAAATAGGGGTTGCAACAGATTCCCTTCTTCTATCGGATGAGTCACAAATCTTCTTTTTCATCAAGCAGAGACTGCTAGACCATGAAATGCAAAAACTCTACCCCTCCCAGCCTTTTGTATGTTCATGGAGCAATGCCTTATTATTTTTATAATTTAGATACTCCACCGCATCACAGATATTTTATGCTAGCTTGTCTAAATGCAATCCCCTCATCTGCTCTGTTCGGAAGGTTTCCCATTCCAGAATAGATTCTGCTCCTGTAATAAGAAAACACAAGTTGCAATATATCACATGATTTTGGGTTACTGTCTTCTTGACGCCCTTCGCAGAGATCTCCTAGGGACGCCCTTACAGCTTAAAATATTTGTTTCTGGCACTTTTCTTGGAAACAGAATGGAAGAAGTGGGAATGGAAGTATGATTTTCTTTTAAACTAGAATGAAAAATCATGGCAAATGCAACAGGAAAGGGGATCAGAAGATATGGAACTGGGTGTGAATTAATTAATACAAAGTAAATAAATATGGAATATTGTTCTAACATATGACCACAGCAGAAAGACTCTTGTGTGGTTAAAGACAAAGAGATTTAGCATTGTTTAAAAAGTTTGGGGAAAAGCTTACATAAGGTTATAATCCCTAAAATACCGTATTTTTCGCACTTTCTCTCCTCCAAAAATTAAGGGGAAATGTGTGTGCGTCCTATGGAGCGAGTGCAGGCTCCTTGGCTTCAGCAATAGGAAGGCGAAGCCTCCGAAGCGCAGAGGGAACGCTCCCTCTGAACTCCTGAGGCTTCGCATTGCTTTCGCTGAAGCCTGGAGAGCGAGAGGGGTCGCTGCGCACCGGCCCTTCTCGCTCTCAAGGCTTCAGGGATAGCTGCCTGAAGCCTTCGGAGTGCAGCGCGAGTTCCCGCTGGGCTCCGCAGGCTTTGGGTTCCTTTTGCTGAAGCCGGGAAAGCAAGACTCTCCCGGCTTCAGCAGAGAAGGAGAGCTGCACAACGACCCTTCAGCCAAGCAGGAGGACAAATGGAAGGGGCTCTGTTTCTCCTGCCGCTTCGCTGAAGGGTCACTGAGCAGAGAGGGGGAGATTTTTTTTTCTTGTTCTCCCCCTCTAAAACAAGGTGTGTCCTATGGTGCAGTGTGCCCTATAGAGTGAAAAATACAGTAGTTTGCTGCAGGTCCAGCTTGACTGCTAATGAGGAGAAAAAAAGCCTTTCACGTTTTGTTATTGCATGTGAATGAATAGCGTACTGGAACTCACAGATTGGGGAAAATCATCAAGGAGAGAATGGGTTCTTTTTCGTTTGAGGGCCTTCCTCCTTTATACTAACAGTTTACAAAGTAACTTTCTTTACAAGTATTTTGTATTTTTAATTAAAAGTTAATGGTTGTCTTTTAGCGCACTGACTATATTTTGTTAAAGCTAAATGTGCTTTACATGTTGAAATTTGTAAAACTGCTGAGTTAAGAAATACAGAATTAAATGGAGCTTTCTCTCAAACAACTATTACATGTATAGACTAGAGGTCCTGCCTCATGGCTTCTTCAGAGATGTGAACTGAGGTTCCCATGGCCTGGTTCCAAGATGCTACATACACCATTTTACATTTTGGAGTCTCCTTTGGCTACAGGAGCTGTTAGGATGAATTCCTAACTTCACCATTTCCCTCTCCACCACTGTTCCCATATAATTAACGAAGGAGAATTTAAAATGAGAGTTGTAAATATTCTCCAGCAATCCTACAGGGAACCCAGCATTTTGTCTTTCTAATTACCTTAGCTACGGATCAAAAGGTCTGTAATTAATTCTGCTGCTACTCAAATCCCTGGTGCAGTTTCAGTGGACACTGGAAAAACTCAAAGCAAAGCTTGCGGATGGTCTTATAAATATAGCCATGATTATGATCCTCAATATTCAAGATTTCAGCCTCTCATGAAACTTTAGAACCTTTCAGGTTAGACAGTTTTAATAACTTGATAGTTCTGTAGAAGAGAGTAAATGAATCTGTGGATAGATAGAATATGTACCCTTGTATTCAAGATGTTGGTTGTCTTGCTGCTGGCACTATTTACTCCAAAGGTATGTCAGCTCCACATAGCAAATTGCAAGGTTCCATATATACACCAGCCACTTCATAAGTACCATCAATCAGGAGATTTTATCATTGGTGGCATTGCTTCTCATGGTGGCTTTGTCTCCAATCCAGGAACCTTCACTGAACAAGCCCCACCGGAATTATCTGAAGAGCTTGTGTAAGAATGTTTTGTTCCCCCTTCTATTTATTATGTCGCTGGAGTGGTCAGTCCTAGAACAGCAGCCTAAGAACACTTGCTGGGGCTGCAACCCTTTACACACGTACTTGAGAATACCTTCCTTCAAATTAAATTAGATCTATCTCTGTCTGCATGTGAAGACAGGCTCCAGTGGATTGAGCAGATGAAACCAATAGTGGGTCCAACGGTCAAGAAGGCAGTTTCGGCACATGCTGTAGAGAGAAGTGAGAAGTACATGGGGCCTGTCAACTTGGGAAGGTCACTCATTTAGGATCCTAAACCTCTCTTGCCTTGTGAGATATCTTTGTGAGAAGAAAAGGTTGAGCAGTAAACCCTGAACAAATCTTGAATAGAGTCCCTAAGATGGTTGGATGGTGCCTTGTGTGCCTCCAGGAGATTTCATTATTGGTAGCATAGCTTCTCCTGATGCCTTTATTTTCAGTTCAGCAACTTTCACTGAAGAACCCCTATCTGGATTGCCTGAAGAGCTTGTGTAAGAACTAGTTTTGTGTCTGTTTTTATTTTCATTTAATATTTCAATTTAGTTAAAAGAAATATCTCTGCAGAAGAAGATTACACAACCAGAGGAATCTCCAAAGGGAAATGGAAGAGGTGTCTGTGTTTGTGTTTGTGTGTGTGTGTGTGTTTGTGTATGAAGGATTTGTTTGTTTAAGCACACAATCTTTATTCTCTTCCCCAAACTTTTTAAACAATGGAACTGTGAGATATTCTTCTGATCAGGAATGCAACTCTTGTTCCAGCGTGGTGCCTAAGGGTTACCAGCATATCCTGGCCTTAGCATTTGCAGTCAAGGAGATCAATGAAAACCCTCACATCTTACCAAATCTCACCTTGGGCTTCCACATCTATGACAGCTATGTCACTGCAATTAAGACGTATCATGCCACAATGCTACTTTTATCTACACTGGAGAAATTTCTCCCCAACTATATATGTGATACACAGAATAATCTAACAACTGTCATTGGGGGTCTTGACTCCCAGATCTCCCTTCATGTGGCAACTATCTTGGATATTTATAAGATTCCACAGGTAGGACACCTTTGCCTGTTTCTGAGTGGAACATGAAAATTCAGTAAAGCAGTCATACTTTTTCTTTATTTCTTCCAGCTTGTATTAATGCTGTTTAGAAACAGAAATGAGTGCATTGGTAATAATCAGATCAATTATTCTTTTCTTTCTTTCCTTTGCATGTTTTATGCACACTGAGAGCAGTTCATTAACAGTTGAAAAACAACACAAAAACCTATAACTGGAACATGATTTCCCTAGATTAGAACTGAATTTGAAAATAGATAGCATCCTTTTCTGAATCACAAACCCTGTTATGAACTACCCATCTGTAGGCATAAATTGAGAACCGACTTTATAAAATAGATCCTGATTTTCTCTGAAGCAACACCATAAAGTTGAAAAACTAATTAAGTTGATTTTAACTGAGGGGAATTAGATGCTATGCCAGTCAGGCAATTAAAAATACTGTGATTAGCTGATGGAGATTGAGCTCCTTATGTGAATGGAAATAGTTTGTATATCCCATTGCTCTGTAATTCAGGATTGATCAGAACTGACTCTGCTGGGTCTTCAATTTCATCATTGCTGACTCAGGTAGTACAGTTTAGATATGAAATGCTTCCTGATGCTAAAGATGCACTATTTATATGGATGTTCAAATGGACATGTCAACTGCATTTCACAATGCATAACACTGCTATATAAGTGGATGGTGTTTCTTCTCTCTTTCCAACACACCTCTCTTTAGCTCATATATGGCCCGGCTCCAGTGATGAATGATAAAACACCAGGACTTCCCTTCTACCAGATGGCCCCCCAAGAAGGCCACCAGTTTGCAGGGATGCTTTTATTGCTTCTGCATTTCAGGTGGACGTGGATTGGGGTCGCTGTGGTTGACAATGACAGTGGAGAAAGATTTCTACAAAATGCGCTCCCACTCTTTTCAAACAGAGGTATTTGTTTTGCCTTTGTAGAAAGAATCCCCAATTTAATTTTCTCACTGAAGCACTCAAAATTATGCAAGAGGGGGCTAAAATACATGATAGAGTGATGGGTAGCAAAGCCAATGTTGTGGTGGTCTATGGAGAAGCTTCTACCACTGTATTTTTTAGATGGCTTCCATATCTATCAATGCTTGGGAGCACGAAAACAAATGTAAATGGTAAAGTATGGATATTTACAGCCCAATTTGAGTTCATTTCATTGGCCTTTCAACAAGATTGGGATGCAGAAATATTCAATGGTGGTATATCCATCAGAATTCACTCCAATGATCTACCACGATTTCATCAATATGTTGAGAACAGGAACCCTTCCAATGCAGAAGGTGATGATTTCATCTGGGATTTCTGGCAACAAGCCTTTGGCTGTGTATTCCCACATCACATTCCGGGTGATGCCAAGGGGGATATCTGCACTGGGAAAGAGAGAGTGGAGAATCTTCCTGCATCTCTCTTTGAAATGACAGTGCAAGGTCTAAGCTACAGCATCTACAATGCTGTCCACACTGTTGCCCATGCATTGCATGCCATGTTCTTGCAAAGACTCAGATACCCAGGAATGGTGGATGGAAGGAGAGAGAAGCTTCAGAAGCAGCAGTTTTGGCAGGTAAGGGGCAATAAATCATTAGGTTGCATGAGACTACAGTGGTACCTCACTCTATGAACTGAATTCATCCCAGAAGTCCGTTCTTAAACCAAAGCGTTCTTAAACCAAGGCACGCTTTCCCTACTGAGGCCTCCCGCCACTGGTGCCCTTCCACCATTCAGCTTCCGTTCATCTTCTGAGGCAAAGTTTGCTAGCCGTAATTCCCACTTCCGGTTTTGCGGAGTTCATTGCCAAAATACTTTGTGAACAGGACTGTTTGTAGAGCAAGGTATCACTGTATATAGTGGGTGTTCAAGTTCCCTAAGAAATATTTCCCCCTCCCTGCTTTCCCTGGTGATCTGTGTATCATCCCTGCCCGCATTCTTTGCAGGATGAATCTTCCTTCAATCTGTTACTTCAAATCTGTTCAGGTATGCTGATGGTCCAGCAGACTCTCATCCTTTTATTCCACATACATACACTCTCCATGCACAAAAGCACAGAAAACATTATTTACTCCTAGATTATTAACCTATTCACACATGCACCCATTCATTTCTTTTCTCACTATCACCCCAATTCACAGTTATTACGGTATATCATTCCTTGGCTGCAATATGAGGCTCTTTTCAAGAACTAATGGGGCATGCAGAACTTTTGATGGCTTGGGGGGGGAGTTTAGAAGCATTAGCACTTCCCTCTCTACCTAAAACCTATCTAAAACATCCCCCATATTAATACCAATAGGATTCCAAAATACACACATCTAGGCCTTCATGCACAGCTAATAGGGAGTGGAGAAAAGGGGAAATTGCAAGCCATCCATGAGCCCCAAATAGGCTACATGCATGTTTCAGGCAGTGGGACTCCCCTCTCTGCTCTAGATCTCTTTTTGAAACATTCAGATCCACCCTTTTCTAAATGCTTGCTTTCTCTTTTTTCTATCTAGCTCCATCATTTTCTGAGAGCTGTCTCATTCAACAACAGTGCTGGAGACATGGTGTCCTTTCAATCAGAATGGGGAAGTAATATCTAGTCTGGACATTATCAACTGGGTTATTTCCTCCAACCAGTCCTTTCATAGGGTAAAAGTTGGGAGAATGGATCCTGAGGCTCCTCCAGACCAAGCCTTCACCCTTCATGAAGATGCCATAACATGGCACAAATGGTTTAATCAGGTAGAGTCACATTGTTAGCTAATTCAAAAGAAATTCATTCTAAAACAAGCAATGATTATTTGCCTCGATGTCTAAGATAAAGTACACTTGAGGATCAGGGGGGGAAAACCTTATGAAAAAAATCTCAATTATTTGCTCGATGTAAATTGATGAATTTGTCCAGGATGTGTGTGTTTATCGCTCTCTTCCCAAATGCAATGTAATGTTGTGTGACCCCTAAAACTATCTATGATATCTGCTATGTATTCTTTGTCTTAACACAGACAAGAATGCACTCAATGCAGAGCTGAACCTGACTGATTCCAAACTCATCATTCTCATGAATATCATGCTTCTGCTTCATTTACGGATTAGGCTCAGCCTCTTTCTGTCTGTACTGAGAATTGTCACGCAGGATCAAGGAAGAAAGTGAAGGAAGGAGAACCGTTTTGCTGCTATGATTGCATCCCATGCCCAGAGGGAAAGATTTCAATCCAGGAAAGGTAAGAGATATTTACCTTAAGTATAATTTGGATCCAGATGCAGTACTTCTATTGAGTTCCCTTTAACAGGAATGGGACAAATTAAGCCATGACTAACTTCTCCACTTGCCTTTCAAAGGGACCAAGTGATACACAGGACACTTCCATACAATCACTTCATGGAGCCTTCATCCTGATTTGTGTGCACAATGTTTACAAGGATTTTGTTCAATTAAAATCTGAATGTGCTAGACAAAAGTAGCTGTATATTGTGTACTCATTCTACTTAGTTTGTGTGAATGTCAGAAAAGGTTGCATCAAGAAAATGTAATCTCAAACTTTCCAGTGTACTCCCCAATCACTTTCCTTATTGTAAACAGTCTGTGCTTTTTGAGGTGGGGGGCTTCTTGGACAAGAGCTCCAAACCCACTTTAATGGCAGAACTTGAATTTGCACATATGTGATTTAATCCCACACCCAAATACTGGCAGTCTGGATGCACCATATATATTCAGTACATATATGCATATATTCATACATATTCATTCAGTACATCATCCTTTCCCTTGAGATCTCTCCCACTTCACCATCATTCAGTAAAGGGTTTATTTTGCCTCACCAGGTATTATTGCTCTTTCACAAATATGGGATGTATTTAGCATGCCTTTCTGTTCATATCTGCCATAGCACCTTGGAGCATGTCATCTTACGCAATGAAATTTAATTTTTGTGAATTTCTTCAGTAAAAATAAGTTTAAAGAAGTTTAATTTTACCTTCTCAAAATGTCAGGTAAAGCTAAATAATAATAATAAATATAATATTAATATATAATATAACTGGAAGTAATTGTCAGTCACTTTTAATAACTTCATGCATCTTTACACATATTTTACTTACCATGCAAAACTGTACAGTGGTACCTCTGGTTATGTACTTAATTCGTTCCAGAGGTCCGTTCTTAACCTGAAACTGCTCTTAACCTGAAGCACCACTTTAGCTAATGGGGCCTCCCAACTGCTGCTCTGCCGCCGCCGCCGCCGCCGCATGATTTCTGTTCTCATCCTGAAGCAAAGTTTCTTAACCCAAGGTACTATTTCTGGGTTAGTGGTGTCTGTAACCTGAAGCGTAGGTAACATGAAGCATATGTAACCCCGAGGTACCACTGTATCTTAAACCAAAACGTCTTTTAACTTCCGAAGTTCATACTCCAAATTTTGAGGCACCACTCATATTTGGAATTCAGCAACACTATATAATACAACATTGATGCTCTTAGAGCACAAGATGTGGTACCATTTAGCTCTCTACCAATTAGGCCACCAACTACCACAATTACATAGGATCACAAAGCGCAGAATGTATGTTCTGACTTCAAGAGATCCTTATATTCTGAGTGAACAAAAAAAAATGAAGCATATTGATGTGATTGATAGATTATGTATGAGCTGGGGACTGTACCGTTCTTTCTTTTTCCTCAGATATGAATGACTGTGATAAATGCTCAGACAAAGACTATCCAAGCAAGAACCAAGATGCATGTATTCCCAAGGATATAAGCTTCTTGTCTTATGATGAACCTTTGGGCATCAGTTTAGTCTGCTTTTCGCTTTCATTTGCTCTGATCACAGCTCTGGTGCTGGGTACATTTGTCAAGCACCATAACACTCCCATAGTCATTGCAAACAACAGGAACCTCACCTACACTCTCCTCATTTCTCTCCTGCTCTGCTTCCTTTGTGCACTGCTCTTCCTGGGCCAACCAAAGAAGCTGACATGTCTCTTCCGACAAACCGCTTTTGGCATCATCTTCTCAGTGGCTGTTTCTTGTGTATTGGCAAAAACCATCACTGTGGTTCTGGCTTTCATGGCCACCAAACCTGGATCCAGGATGAGGAGATGGGTGGGGAAGGGACTGGCCAACACCATTGTCCTTTCCTGCTCCTTTGTTCAGGCAGGGATTTTTATTGTGTGGCTAGCAACCTTTCCCCCATTTCCAGATGTAGACAGTTACTCAGTGGCTAAAGAAATTATACTAGAATGCAATGAAGGGTCTGTGGTGATGTTTTACGTTGTTTTGAGCTATATGGGCTTCCTGGCAATTATTAGTTTCATTGTCGCTTTCCTTGCCAGGAAATTACCTGACAGTTTCAATGAAGCCAAGTTCATCAGTTTCAGCATGTTGGTGTTTTGCAGTGTTTGGCTATCCTTTATTCCATCCTACCTGAGCACCAAGGGAAAATACATGGTTGCTGTGGAGATCTTCTCTATCTTAGCCTCTGGTGCTGGACTGCTGGGTTGCATCTTTTCCCCAAAATGTTATATTATTGTGTTCAGGCCTCAGCTGAACAAGAGGGAGCAGCTAATAAGTAAGTAAAAAGGAAGGAAGGAAGGAAGGAAGGAAGGAAGGAAGGAAGGAAGGAAGGAAGGAAGGAAGGAAGGAAGGAAGGAAGGAATCAGGCCTTTGCTCAGCTACAACTACACTTGCTATTTTCAAATCTATGTGGATGCAACTGATTCCTACCCAGTCCATACTCTCTTCCTTTATCTATAAGAATAAAAACCATTTTCAAAAAATATGTTAAACACAGCAATTAAACAGGATTTTCTATAATAATCTGTTTTATTATATTAACCCCATTATATGAGATGCCTATGAAATATAATTTTCACAAAGGTTCAATTATCTATTTTTAAGATAATCTTTAGGTGATATTATACTCTGGTAATTTTACCATCTATTAACTCCAATCTGAACCCAAAATACAAGTCCATTCCATTCCAATACAGGGTCCATTCCTTTCCTTTCAGTACTATTGTTTGTTTTTTCTCTTGTGTGTTATTGAAATATATGTTCTTGCTTAAATAAACACATTTTAAAAAAAAATGCAATGCCCCAGAGAAGGAAGTGAATTTATTTCAGTGACATTGCTTCTCATGTGCCTTCCTCTCTATTCCTACAAACTTCACTAAAGAAGCCCCACTGGAATTACCTGAATAACTTGTGTAAGAACGTCCCCCATTCTATCTCTTACATCACTGGAGTGATCAGTCCTAGAACACCAGCCTAATTACACCTGAAGAGCTGCAAACCTATACACACTTATTTGAAAATATCTTCCCTTGAATTCAATAAGATCCATCTCTGTCTGAAAATGCACAGAATTGTGATGTCAAGGCAATTGAAAAAATAATGAACTAAAAACTCCACAGGGAAATGATTAATTTTATTGGGAAGCATATGGGGTGTTAGGGGAGGGGGAGTACCTCTGGTCAGGGCACCTTCTGGCATAGTTTAACCACCTTTGGTCCCCACCCTGCACTCAGCTCTCAGCCATGGCTTCTAGAAGCTGTCAGCATGGGAGAGTGGCCACACCCTGGGAATGCCTTGGACTGTCTGGGTAAACAACTTGATGGTAGCGAATGGGCCTCAAAACCTTGCGGATTTAGGGACTTCCTCTGCATGTGAAGATAGACCCCAGTGGATAGAGCTGATGAAACCATTTGTCAGTCCAATGGTCATGGGGCTAATCAACCTGGGAAAGTCACTCATCTAGAAGAAGGAAGACTCTGATCTAGAAGAAGAAAAACCTATGTTACCTGCAGGGTATCATTGGGAGAAGAAAAGGCTAAGGAGTAAGAAAAGCCAAGCTGGTGTCAGACATATTGTTCTGATTTTCTTTCAACCACATCATCCTACCATGATGATTCCTACTAGGTTATGTTTGTCATTTAGTATTTATAGCTCAAATTCCTTTGGCTTTTTCCCCATACTCTGTACATTAGCATAGAGATTACTGAAACCTTGGTTCATTCCCTCTAGCTGCTTCCTTCTGTCCATTTAGTGAGTTTCAAGTACTTCCTAATCCTTTCTCTCAAGCTGCCTTTTCCAGACTGCAGTTCCCTTTCCCTGAGATCATTTTCTTAGAAGGTGGTAAAGTGGGTTATGGGCATACTAATCCACTATCAAGTAGCATTCAATCTGAAGGCGGTAGATCAAGAACGGAAACAAACTCCAAGTTTTAAATATCTAAAGGGCTGTGACATGGAAATGGAGCAAGCTTGGTTTCTCCTGCTCCTGGGAGTAGGGCTCAAACCAGTGGATTCAAGCTACAAGAAAGGAGATTGCAACCAAAGTACAGCATGAACTTTCTGACAGTAAGAACTGTTAGACAGTGGAAGAGACTGCCTTGGGGCTTGTGGACTCTGCTTCATTGGAGATTTTATAGCAGAGGTTGGGTGGCCATCTGTCAGGGGAGCCGACTTGGGCCCTGAGAGTGTTGTCATGACATCACACTATGACGTGATGTCATGGCATCATGCTCAGCCCCTGGCTTTGAAACTTGACTTCAGGTGCCACCAGAAGTCAGGGTCAAAGGTCTCGTGAGACCTCGGAAAGCATGCTTTGGTGAGATTCCTAAATTGCAAGGTGTTGGAGTAGGGAAGCCTCAGGGGTCCCAACATTACAATTCTATGACTCTATGATTCTAAGTCTGTCTCCTCCAGTCTCTTCCTGCTGAAATGGGTGGCAGAATCATTTCAGGTTAGCAACTGCTCCTCGGGTCAAGAATCAAAGTCAGAGGTGACGACTTGGAATCAATTTGCAGCTCCAGTGACACAGATTGGGGGGGGGGCAGGGGAGGAGGGAAGGAATGGCAGGCAGCAGAGCTTTGTGCAAAAAGATTTCAAAGAGTTCCATGTTGCACTTGGGCTGTGCATGCCTTTTTCCAGTGGGGGAAAATATAAATACAATACAATTGTATTTCGGTTTACAACTTAATCCGTTCCTGAAGACTGTTCTTAAACCAAATCCGTTCTTAAACTGAGGCACGTTTTCCCTAATGAGGCCTGCTGCCGCCAGTGCCTTTCTGCCATATTGTTTCTGTTCACAGACAGTTCATAGACCGTTCGTAGACCAAGGTAAAGTTCACAAACTAGAACACTTCGTCCGGTTTGCAGAGTTCGTAAACCGAATAGTTCGTAAACAGGACTGTTCGTAAACCAAGGTACAGTGGTGCCTCGCAAGACGAAATTAATCTGTTCCGCAAGTCTCTTCGTCTAGCGGTTTTTTCGTCTTGCGAAGCAACCCTATTAGCGGCTTAGCGGATTAGCGCTATTAGCGGTTTAGCGGCTATTAAAGGCTTAGCGGCTTAGCGGCTAAAAGGCTATTAGCGGCTTAGCGGCTTAGATAGGGGGGGGAGCGGAAAAAAATCTCAAGACTCGCAAGACATTTTCGTCTTGCGAAGCAAGCCCATAGGGAAATTCGTCCTGTGAAGCGCATCGAAAAACAGAAAACCCTTTCGTCTAGCGGGTTTTCCGTCTTTCGAGGCATTCATCTTGCGGTGCACTACTGTACCACTGTATGGCCAAAATGAGCAGGATTTTTTACTGCCAAAAAAACCATAATCTGAAGCATGACTTGATGTTGCCCATGATTTGTGGGTTTGTTTTAACTGTGGCTTGGTTTTACCTGTGAACTCAGCACACTCTCTTAACCACTGGTAGCCACTTCCTAGCCTGGAGAACCTTCAAAGTGTCAAAAGCATAAGGCAGGAACAGCCTTATGATAGAAAAAGAAGCTTTGGGCTTTTTTCGTTGTCAGCTGAATAATTGGGTCCTTCACACTTGGTGTGAAAAGTCACAGAAATGAAGCGCAAAGCTGATTTGATAGGTGTGTGTTGTGGGCCTGGCACAGAGGCAAACGAAACCCCAGAAATTTGATTTGATACTGAAATAATTGTGGTCACTGCCACCTTAGCATAAATCTCCAACTATTATCTGCTTCTTTCCTTCCTTTGGTTCCACTTTATATAGTTTGCAAAGGATGCTCTCTTTTACTTACTGAATTATTTATGTTTTCTATATATCAAATAGATTATACAATGTTGATGTGGTTATTATTTGAATTTTTATTCCCCATTTTTCTCTCCAATACCCCCAAACATTCGGCTTCTGTTGATTACGGTTTAGTTTTCACCAGTTCTTCTTCATTCAATCTGTATATATCCAAACTGAATTATGATAAACCTGACCTAGAAAGGTTTTTCTTTTAAAAAGAAATTGGCCCGAAGTGCTTCTGAGAACCTTGTGTGGTTTTGAGATGTTTGGCAAGAACCCACTTCTGCTCAGCTGCCTCATTCCATTTCTTAACTCAGGAGCTGTAGGGGGAGGGGTTGCACACAAACTCCTAATTTTTCATGGGACTTTGATACAGCCACTCCCTTATTTTAACACCTTGCAGGCTTTCATTCATGTTCTGCTAATTGCTAATGGGGAGTGGATTATAGGGAACACTGCCGTCCATATGTGAGCCCCAAATACATGTATGTTGCAGGCAGGGTTGCTCCCCTCTCTACCCTAGATATCTTTTTGAAGCATTCAGATCCACCCTTTTCTAAATGCTTGCCTTCTCTCTTTTCAATCTAGCTCCATCATTTTCTGAGAGGTGTCTCATTTAACAACAGTGCTGGAGACACAGTGTCCTTCAATCAGAATGGGGAGGTAATATCTAGCTTGGATGTTATCAACTGGGTAATTTCCTCTAACCAGTCCTTTCATAGGGTAAAATTTGGGAGGATGAATCCTGAGACTTCTCCAGATCTTGCCCTCACCCTTCATGAAGATGCCATAACAAGGCATGGATGGTTTAACCAGGTAGAGTCACATTGTTAGCTAATTCAAAAGAGGTTCATTCTTGAGTGAGCAATTGATGTCAAAGATTAAATTCAATTGAGAATCAGAAAAACTTACAAAATACTCATTTTATTTTACTGGATGTAAACTGGATTGTTCAGGATATAATTGCACACATTTTCAATCATAAAGGGGTGTAATATTTTGCAATCTGGTAAAATATGTATAACATCACCTATGTATTCATTGTTTTAATACAGACGGTGATGAATTACTCTCTGCAGAGCTGATCTACGGCTTACTGAAATGTTGTGACAATTTAGTAACAAAAGGAAGGTCTCCAGAACCTGACTGATTCCAAATGCATTATTCTCATGAATATCATGTTTCTCCTTCATTTACTGATTAGGTTCGGCCTCTTTCTGTCTGTACTGAGAATTGTCACGCAGGGTCAAGGAAGAAAGTGAAGGAAGGAGAACCATTTTGCTGCTATGATTGCATCCCATGCCCAGAGGGAAAGATTTGAAACCAGGAAAGTAAGAGAAATACGCAGAAATTTGGATACAGATGCAGAACTCCCTTGGATGTTTACAGGGCGTTTGTTAGAGAATGTCCTATTAAGCAGTCAGGGAATGGGCAGCTGTTGTGGCCAATTGTGACAGGCCCACATCTCTAGAGAGCAATGCTGGGGTCAAGGGGCCACCTATCGGGGAGCTCCCTGGCTGCCACTCTGGATTGTCAAGC